AGGCAATCTTCTTCTTAATCTATGTAGTGCTCTCTCTTTCGAGTTATTGGTCAGAAAGTGGATTACTCTGTGATAGTATAAGATTTAGCTTGAGAGTTTCATGTTTATTTAGAAAGTCTGTGAAACATATGGAGGTTGGAGGTTAAGATAATATTAATGAAGTTTCTGACATAACATTTTTATTCTCTTTTTCTTGCGTATTATTCTAACCAGGCAATGAGGAAATCACAATAGCCAAAAACCCATTTTTAAAAATTGTGGTATCATACATGTAACATAAAAACTGAACTTGTTTACCATTTTTAAATGTACATATTTGTGACACTAGCTATATCCATATTGCTATGCATCTATCACCACCACCCATTACCAGAACCTTTTCATCTTCCTCAGCTGAAACTCTGAACCCATAAAACACTAACTTTTCCCATCTCCAGCCTCTGGTAATCACTTGTCTACTTTCTGTCTCTATGAATTTGACTGCTTTAGGCGCCTCATGTAAGTGGATTTATATAGGTTTTGTCCTCATGTTGTCATATGTCAGAATCTCCTTCCTCTTTAAGACTGAATATCACTGTATCTATATATGTTGTCAGTACACACACACTCATTGCTTGATGGACACTGGGTTGCTTCTGCTGTGAATATGCATTGGTGTACAAATATCACTTTGAGACCTTGCTTTCTGGAGAACTTGCCATACCTTTCTCCACAGCAGATACACTATTTTACATTCCCACTAGCAATGCACAAAGGGTTCTAGTTTCACTACATTTTCATGAATGCTTGTCCTTTTTTTTTTTTCAGTTGGAAGTCTCACTCTGTCACCCAGGCTGGAGTGCAGTGGCACGCTCACGGCCACCCCAGCGCTGACCTGCTGGACTCAGGCAATCCTTCTGCCTCAGTCTTCCAAGTAGACAAAACTACAGGTTCGCGCTACCATGCCTGGCTAATTTTTAAATTATTTTTTAGAGACAGAGTCTCACCAAGTTGCCCGGGCTGGCTGCAAACTGGTGACCTCGGGCAATCCACTCCCCTTGGCCTCCCAAAGTGCTGGAATTATAGGCTGAACCACTGAGCCTGGATCATTTGTCATTTTTTATTTTGCTTTTTAAATAATAGCCATGAGTGTGAAGTGGTATCTCATTGTGTTTTTTATTTGCATTTCCCTAATGACTAGTGATGCTGAACTTTTCTTTTCATGTGCTTATTGGCCATATGTGAATGTCCTCTGTGGAGAAATGTCTGTTCAAGTCCTTTGCTTGTTTTTGGTGAAGTACTTTTGGGATCACGGTGTCAGAGAAGCCTGGTGCAATTCGTCTAACTAACTGGGACCATGCTACATGGAATTAAACTTGTTGAAGAGGAAAACTATTAGCCAGGTGCAGACATCTTCAGTGATTGTTCCTCACTGCTACAGTTGGCATTTTTGTTACTTTTAAGTTTTGACTTTTACCTTTTTTTATTAAACACTTTTTCAGTAAGTTTTTATTAGTAGTTAAGTCATGATTCAGGGTCCCAAAGTAGGGATCAAAATGTACCCAGGTCCCCCTTTAACCAATCTGGGAGAGGGAGGGAGGCAGAGCAGAGCCAGTTCAGATCTTCCCAGGAAATGCGCCTTAAGCCAGGTGGTCATCCCAGGTTGAAACCCAGGATTTGGGGCAGAGAGACTTGTACACACACCAGTACCATTCACACACACAGACATCACCTCCTTTAGTGGTCATTGCCTTCTCACAGGCAGTGGAAGTCCAGGTAGTTCTGCCCGCAGTTCCTGGTCTGGTTCTCGCTGGGGAACCTGGGTACAGGGGCCGTCTTATAATTCTTGATTTTGGTCTTGATGTCTTCTGTCATCATACTGACTCCTAAAGATGTCCCCGATGCATGTAGCAGCTTGATGTGACCCTCAGCAAAGACCTTACCTTTTTTTAAAAAAATAAATAAAACAGCTAATGTGTACTATGTATTCAACTTAGTAATTTACAGGAAAAAAGGGAAACTAAAGGATACAACAAAAACAATCATCAACTAGAAAATGGAGGAATTGATAACTGCAAGAATGGTTTCTAAAAAATTATAAAATCAATAAATTGATGAGAACCAATAAACATGGACTATATGAAAAATAGAGATACTTATAAATTAGAATTCTATGCCCAGATGTATGATAAATATGTAAATCTCAATGTAATAGTGCTGTATGATTTCACTTGTGCTCAAATGTGGCCTGTAGGTCTTTGTATTTTAGTTATGTAGAAGTTCATTCTTCTCAGAAAAATACCTGGATATTTTTATTTAATTTAGTTTTTATCATGAAATTTTCTAATTGTGTGTGTGTGTGTGCTATGAAATACATACATATCTGATAAGACTTAAGAGAATAGAAATTTATGTGGCAAAGCTTTGCAGAAAATAATTTCACTAACTTTCCTAATTAGGGATTATCAAAAATATTAAAAGTGTGTAATAAAAATAGGAAAATGTAAAGACGGACTGTGCTTATATATAAGGGAACTTCAAAAAGTTCATGGAAAATATGGAATTAAAAGATAAAAATAAAAGTATAAACTTTATTTTCAACACAAGTTTCATCAAAGTCAGGATACTTTTGTAAGTGATGATACCAGCTTTTTAGTTCATCCCTAGAGAACTGAGGGTTCTGGGAACTTAGCTATGTCAATCCAGTCTTTTTTACATTATCAACTGAAGAAAAATGAGTGCCCTTTGCAGATTTTTTAAGACTAGGAGACAAAAAAAAAGTCAGAAGGGCCAAATCAGGACTGTAAGGCCCTAATGATTTCCCATCGAAACTAATGCAAAATTGCCCTTGTTTGATGGGTAGAATGTGTGGTGGAGAAAGGACTCTCTGGTAAAGCTTTTTCAGGAATTTTTCTGCTAACGTTTTGACTAACTTCCTCAAAACATCCTCATAATAAGCAGATGTTGTTGTTGTTGTTATTGGCCCTTCAGAAAGTCAACAAGCAAAATGAGAGCATCCCAAAAAACAGCAGCATCTCAAAAAACAGTAGCCATGATCTTAGTTCTTTACTGGTTCACTTTTTCTTTGACTGAATCACATCCACCTCTTGGTAGCCATTGCTTTTTCTTCAGTACAGTAAGTCCCCTATATGAACCTTCAAGTTGGGAACTTTCAAAGATGTGAATATGCATTCGCATTATTTGAGGAGGCACTGTTAGTTTTTGAGGCACAGAACCTGACGTAGAATGGTACATGAAAGTTGCAGCAACTGTTCAGAATGTATTCCTGTGCTACTACGTCATCTAGGAAGAGAAGAAAAGAACTACTATACAGGCATTACTGAATTATTTTTTTCAAGAGGGCAGATACAATTGAATTAGCAAGGAACCAGAACCTGTGCCTTCAATGTCAAGTGTGAGTGAAATAGCAGTTTGCCCTCCATCTCCTACTGCAGACGATCCTTCAGCTCTACCATCTCCTACCTCCTCTTCTTTCTGCAGTCAGTAACTCTTCTTGCCTGTTCACTCAATTCTAGCCGCTGTATCCCAGCTGTTGTACTATTTTGTATTACTGTACTTTCCACGGTACTGTGCTGTGAGATTAAAAATGTTTTCTGTATTTTTTGTGTTTTATAAATGTATTATTTGTGTGAAAAGTATTATAAATATATTATAGTACAGTACTATGTAGCTGATTGTATAGTTGGGTACCTAGGCTAACTTTATTGGACTTATAAATTGGACTTACGAATGCGCTCTTGGAAAGAACTCATTCATATATAGGGACTTATTTTCTGGTAATACTGTGTTCATCTCATCTATTGAAGAAATGCTTCTGGATCTTGATCCCGCTTGTTTGAAATTTTCACTAAAACTCTGCAACTGATATGGGTGCAACAGTTTTGGCACCCATCGGAAAGTCTGTTCAACTTTAATTTTTCTGTCACAATTATGTAAGGTGAGCCAATCGAGATGTTTGTGGTATTGGCTGTTGTTTCTGCACTAACCAACAGTCACCTTCAAATAGGACGCAAACAAGATTAATTTTTTTCCTCACAAATTGATGTGGATGGTCTGTGCTGAAGGCTCTATCTTCAATATTATCTATTGCCTCCTTAAAATGAATTATTCACTTCTTAACTGCTGATTTCTTTGAGGTATTGTCCTCATAAACTTTTGGTAAAGCATTAGTTATTTCCCAGTTCTTCCATTCAAGCTTCACCACAAATTTGTTGTTTATTCTTGTTTCAATTTTAGCAGAATTCATGTTGCTATGATGGGGTTCTTTTCAAACTGAAGTCTCATCCTTCTTAGTGCCTCAAATAGATTCTGTTCAGATATATTATGACAAGTTAGTATGAGTTTGTTTTGGTACAAAAAAATTTTCAAATCCATGCATAATTTTTTTATAATATGCATTTTACACAAACTTTTTGAAATCCCCTTGTATTTGCTGAGTTCTACAATTGACATTGAACAATTGTACTGTTTAAGTCTAAATCTGCATTTAATGAAAGATTTGGTTTTCCTTTTTCAATCATATATTAATGGCTATATGTTACTTATACAATGTGGGTTTCATTAATGTAATGCATTGCACCCATGGAACAGCAGACTTAATGGATAGTATTTTTTTTTTTTTTTTTGAGTTGGAGTCTTACTCTGTCAGCCAGACTAGAGTACAGTGGCCGCTCCCAACCACCGCAGCCTCGACCTGCTGGGCTCCGGTGATCCTTCCACCTCAGCCTTCCAAGTAGCTGGAACTACAGGCACGTGCTATCACGCCTGGCTAATTTTTTGATTTATTGTAGAGATGAGGTCTCGCCAAGTTGCCCAGGTGGGTCTCGAGCCCATGGGCTCAGGCAGTCCACCCACCTCAGCCTCCCAAAGCACGGGATTACAGGCTGAGCCACCAAACCTGGCTAGGATAGTATTTTTAATGTGAGGAATTTAATCCATCTTTAAAATGACTACACATAGGTAGCAATATTAAAATATATTAATTTTCTTTTTTCTAATAGGGTCAGCATATTTCATTAGCACCTATTCAAAAGCTTGAAGAAGCTCTGTATGAATACCAACCACTACAAATAGAGACATGTGGACCACAAGTTCCTGAGCTTGAGATGCTAGGAAGACTTGGGTAAGTGTCCAAAAGAACTACACATTGAGCTGATATGTAGAACTTTGTTGCTGTTGTTTTTAACTGCCACTTTAAATTTAAGTTTTTAGAACTTTACTTTTTTATAAAAAATGAACAGAACTCAATGCTAAGTTAAGTTTTATGTAGTACATTAATTTTTCTGTGGACTTGTTAGATCTCTTGAGATTGAGACTGGAATTTATTAGTTCTTTTTTTAAGGCTGTTCTTGGCATCCATGTTGAAGTGGCTGTTCATTTTCAGCTCACCATGTATTTTTTTTTTTTAAAGAAATTGGGGCTTAATTTAGTCAGTCGTAAGCCAATAAAAATATGAGTTGGGCTCCTTGCCATGAAAAAGTGTAGATTTACTCACTGTCTGCTGTCTATAGTGAAACTATATTTATGAGACATGAGTCATGAAATATATTTTGCCGAAAGGTATAATGTAAGGCTGGCCCAGTAGTTCAACAATCATATCATATGCATCCATTTTGAAAATGGACTTGGGCTCATGACTTTTTTAGCGATGGAGATAGTCACAGTCTGTCTTATGAGAGCAAGTGGGTATTTGCATACTTGAAAAGTGTAGACACAGATGTTAATTTTTTAAAATGTAAACTATTGAATGAAAGACTGATCCAGAAACCATTGTTTCTTTACAAAAGAAAATAATGGAAGGAATATAATGTGAAGGAAAAATAATGAGTAAAATGAAACCAAGTGATCAAAAAACAATAAAAAATGTCAAAGACTTCAACAGCAAAAATAAGTAATAAAACTTAGATGGATCTTCAAAACAAAAATTTTGAATGTGATGTATAGTATTTTACATGTGAACAATGCTCCAAGATAAAGTTACTATTAAAATGATATGCAATTTCATATTTAATGACTAAATTTTTTTAGTTCTATATTCCCTTAAAGTCTTATAAACTCCAAGCATGGAGTGAACATTTGACCAGTCTAAAATCCCTTTTGAGGTGCAAATGTATCAAATAATTGTCCAAAATGCTAAAATTGAAACTTGAGGAGAGAGACAATATTGTTTTATGATGTAAAAAGTTATATGTGATGTAGACATTGGTTTCTTATATGATGCTAGGTTATAAACAGCCAGAATTCCGTATCTTTACAATGTTTCTTTTAAAATCTTTTAATGTCAGTGAAGATAAAGTATTAAAACAATACTCTGTTACAGGGTTTTTGCGTTTTGCAATAAGTTTGACAACAAAATTTTTCATGTATGGCTTTTAAAATGTTGAGGTAGTTTCCTTCTATTTCTAGTTTGTTGAATTTTTTTTTATCATGAAAGAGTGGTAGATTTTGTCAAATGCCCTTTCTGTATCAATTGAGATAATCATGTGGCTTTTTCTATTTATTCTCTTAATATAGTATATTATGTGGACTAATTTTCATGTATTAAACTATCCTTGTTACTTGGTCATGGTGGATCATTCTTTTAGTATGCTGCTGAATTTAGTTTGCTAGTGTTTTGTTGAGGATCACTACATTAGTGTTCATAAGGGATATTGGTCTGTAGTGGGTTTTTTTCGGTTTTACTGATGTATAATTGACAAATAAAAATTGTTTATATTCAAGGTGTACAGCATGATGTTTTGATATCCCTGTGTACAGTGAAATGATTACCACAATCAAGCAAGTTACCAGATCCATCACCTCACACAATAACTTTTTTTAATTGATGAGAATACTTAAGATGTACTCTCTTAGCAAATCTTACACATCTGACAATTAAGTTTGAAAACTCATTCTAGAAAAAGTACTACACACCTAATTGCTGAATACCACTACAGTCACCTTTGAAGTACTCACTTTGAGAAGCTTTGCACTGACACCAGTGCCTAGTACACCCGTCAAAGTAGTTTGGGAACTCTTTTTCTGGAATGGCCATGAGAGCTGTTGTTGTATTACTCTTGGTGTCCTGAATGGCATCAAAATGTCTTCCTTTCAATATTTCCTTTATCTTCAGGTAAAGAAAAAAGTCATTGGGTGCCAGATCAGGTGAGCAGGAAGGGTGTTCCATTATAGTTATTTGTTTACTGGCTAAAAACTTCTTCTCTGACAGTGTTGTGTGAGCTGGTGCATGGTTGGATGCAAGAGCTCCATACCTTTCTTATGTTAAGATTTTCAGTTAAGATTTTCCTATTTCTCTGTCAATGTTTATTTGGTCTGCTATGCTTCTCATAGTCAGCTGACAATTTTGACACACAATGCAATGAATTTTTGCATGTTTTCATCAGTTCTGCTCATTACTGGTCATCCTGACCTCTCTTCATCCTGACCCTTCTTCATTAGTGACACTTTCTCTTCCCTCAGATAAAGGTTTAATTCATTTGTACACTGCCACTTTCTTCATGGCATTATCCCCATAAACTTGGAGTAACATGTTCCTGATTTCACTTCCACTCTTGCCAAGTTAAACAAGAAATTTAATGTTTGTTTATTGCCCTAGTTCAAGCTCTGACATTTTTGCAACAGCACACAAAAACATGCAACAACAATAATGAACACTACTCAGCTAGATACCGCCAAATGTTGACATGAACACAGCTTTGAGACACTTATATACCAAAGGCATGAAACTTTCCCAAGTTATTCGTACAGTGCTGTCAATATAAGCACATGGTGACAAGTTTGCAGACTTAATTGTCAGACCTCATAGGTATACTATACATTAACTATAGTACTGTGCTGGAGACCTAATGTACTGTAGTACATTAACTATAGTACATTAGGTCTCCAGAACTTATTCATCTTATAATTGCAAGTCTACCTTTTGAACAAAATTTTCCCATTTCTCTCACCCATTACTCTGGGATACCATCACTCTACTCTCTGCTTTTATGTATTCAGCTTTTTTAGATACTGAATATAATTGAGGTCATGTGGGGCTTTTGTGTGTGTCTGGCTTATTTCACTTACCATAATGTCCTTCAGGTTCATCCGTATTTTCACAAATAACAGGATTTCCTTCATCTTAAAGGCTAAATAATATTCTATTTGACACAGACACATACCGTAATTTATTAATTTATTTGTTGATGGATAATTAGATTGCTTCCATATTTTGGCGATTGTGAATAATACTGCAGTGAACACAGGAGCGTAGATCTCTCTTTGAGTTGCTGATTTCATTTATTTTGGGCATATACCCAGAACTAGGGATTACTGGATCATGTGGTAGTTCTATTTTTAATTTTTTTTGGTAGAACTTCCATATTGTTTTCTATAAAAGCAATACCCAGGTTACATTCTTACTAATAGCGTGGTAAGGTTCCCTGCTGAAGCCCTTTTCAAAAATTAGCTGACTGTATATACTTTGGTTTATTTCTAGACTTGCTGTTCTATTCCTCTGGTCTATGTGTTTGTTCTTATGCAAGTACCATACTGTTTGGATTACTATAGCTTTGTAATATCATCTGAAATCAGGAAGTTTTATGCCTCCAAGTTTGTACTTCTTCCTCAAGACTCCTTTGGCTATTTGGGGTATTTTGTGGTTCCAGATGAATTTTAGGATTTTTTTCCTACTTCTGTTGAAAATGCCATCTGAATTTTGATCAGGATTGTGAATTTGCATATTGCTTTTGGTAGTATGGACATTTTAATAATATTAGTTCTTCTAAGAATATGGGAACTATTTCCATTTATTTGTGTCAGCTTCAAAATTTCTTCAATGTGGTATAGTTTTCATTGTGCAGAACTTTGACCTCCTTTGTTAAATTTATACTTAAGTATCTTACTTTTTGGCTATTATACATGAGACTGTATTCTTGATGACCTTTTTGGAGAGATCACAATTGGTGTAAAGAAGCAGCTAATTTTTGCATGTTTACTTTATGTCTTGCTACTTTACTCCATTTCAATTTCTAGTTCTAACTTCTTTTGGTCTAATCTTTATTATTTTCTACATATAGTGTCTTGTCATCTGCAAACAGGCATAATTTTACTTCTTCCTTTACACTTTGGATACCTTTTGTTTTTCTTTTCTAATTGCTCTTGCTAGTACCTCCAGTACTGTGTTGAATAGAATTGATAAGAGTGGGCATTTGTGTTTTGTACTAGGGTCTTAGAGGGAAAATAGAAAGCTTTTCCTCTACTGATTATGATGTTAGCTGTAGGCTTTTCCTAAATGACCTTAATATTGTTGAGGACATTTTATTCTAAACCTATTTTGTTGACAGTTTTTATCACAGAAGGAGTTTGAGCTTTGTCACATGCTTTCCCTGCATCTGTTGAGATGATCATGTGGTTTTATTTTTCACATTGTTAATGAGATGTATCAATTGATTTGCAAATTTAAACCAACCTTGCAATCCAAGGATAAATTTCATTTTGTCATGGTGTATAATCTTTTTGGTATCGTTGAGTTTTGTTTGTTAGTATTTTATTGAAGATTTTTGCGTCTATGTTCAACAGAGATTTTTTTTTTTCCTGTAGTGTCTTTTTCTTGCTTTTGTATCAGGGCATAGAATGAGTTAGGGAGTGTTCCCTCCTCTTCAATTGTTTGGAACGTTTGAGAAAGATTAGTGATCGTTCTTTAAATGTTTGGTAGAACTCATCTGTTAAACCATTAGGTCCAGGACATTTCCTTGATTCTTAATTTAATTCTTGATTACTGCTACAAACTCACTACTATTTACAGGTCTATTCAGGTTTTCTATTTCAAATGATTAAATCTTAGTAGTTTTTGTGTTTTAGGAATTTATTTTATGTAGGTTACTCAATTTTTTAGCATACAATTGTCTTTAGTGCTCTCTTATAATCCATTTTATTTTTATATAGTTGTTAGTAATGATTTCACTTTTATTTCTGACTTGAGTAATTTGAGTCTTCTTTTAGTCTATCTAGCTAAAGATTTGGTAATTTTGTTGATCTTTTTGAATAATTAACTCTTGGTTTCAGTGATTTTATTATTTTTCTATTCTCTATTTTGTTTATCTTCTAATCTTTTTAATTTTATTTTTTCTGCTAGTTTTAGGT